GAAAACACGGAAGAAAAACTCTTGAAAAGGAAAAGAAACTTTCAAAAGTTCGTCGTCCTAATTTAAACTTACGGTAGTGTGCTGTGGTGCGTCGAGCTTTTGCACCACAAAAATTGGGTCGCTAGTGATTTTTTGCCTTGCAAGATGGGTTGCATTCGACTGAATGTGCTTCTAATGATTAAAATGTAATAAAGTAAAGCAGAATTAGTTGTGGGCACGAGCGCGGTCAGCAAAAAGGGCATGCGATTCCGATTAATGCCCGTCGCCCCAACAAAGAACCTGAGCGGACCTCGTCGGAGGGCTTCTAGAAAGTGGGCGGTCCGACTCCGAGCGTTGGAAAAGTTTCAGCGACTGTAGCTCGCTCCTCGCTCGCTGTGGAGTCGCGAGAGTGGGACAGTCTCTAGCTTGGGGGCTGTACTACTTGCACAAGGAAGGACGACCATGTACTACTTGAGCGCGGGAGCTGTCTCCAAGTCGCTTCACGGTTGCACTGCCTTCGTGACACTGATCCGAGCAGAGCGGTTCGAATTAGGTGCAAACACAATTCATCGAGAATGCACGCGAAGGAGGTAGTGTGGACAAAGGTCGTACTGATAACTAATAGCCAGGTGAGTCACTAAACAGTGCTTAGTGACTCACCTGGCTATTAGTTTGTCTAACACCACATGCTTTTATCACCTTTCCCTGAGTAGCTGGTTCTTCGAATGAGGGAACATCACAAGTAGTTCATAAACGAACGAAATAAAGAGGGATGGAACGAGATACTTAGAAAGATTCCACTTTATCACTCCATTCCCTCTTCCTAACTTTTCATCGTATCATTTTGACGCGGGGTTAGTTTCCTTTCGCAGTATGACAGACAATGACAAATAAATGTGGAGAAAATGACAGACAATGACTAAATGTGGAGAAAACTTCCTCAACAATATGGGCCAAGTATCAAAAGGACGTTACGTGCCTCAGGAAGGACCACCCTCCAGCGGTTAGCCACATCATGTTCTGACGCTACAGAGCTCTGAAACATCCCGTGAGCGGTAAGATGTTTTGCCAACGTGAACACGTAGTCAACGAATGTGCATTCCTCAGAACGATGACGAGGAAGAAAGAGCCAAGGAAAAAACTACATTACAGGGGGAGGGGTGCAAAAGAGGCACTCCGACCGAGGCACATATCGATGAAACTCCGTCCGAGCACATATCAGTAAAGATTATGCAACCCAAAGAGGAGACGTGGATACGAACACCAGGGCGGGAGATACCAAAGATATTCCTTGGGAGCAGAAACACGCTCACATCCATCACCTTCATGCACACCAAAATATGACGCCATCTGCAATGGCAGCCTAACTGAAGAAGGCCTATAGTATTCAGGTCACCTCCAAAGAGCTGCGAAAACTTTTTGTGCGGGAGTCATTCATGGACAGCTACCTGGGCACCGGTACTCTTGATCTGGAAGACCAGCTCCGACAACGTCGCTGCGGTCCATGATATCATCTTCACCGCAGTCGCCGAGGCACGGATTGATGGTATACACCGGAAGTTTCTGCAGTGGGGAGACACGCGTTTCTTCGCGAACGCTAAGGGTTACATCGACCTACTCGGGGAGAATGTCCTGCCTCCATGTCGTCGCCCACTTGGAAACTTCGTACTGCAAGTCCCTCGATTACCGGGTTTGGGCAGAGCTCTTCATTGGCGGAGAAATCAACGACCTCGCTGAACTCAGGCACCGAATCATGGTCGTGTAGCAGAATATCTCGATGGCCTTCCAGAAAGCTGTGGCGGGGTTTTGTGATCGTGTACAATGTGTTGTTGAATTTTGGATTGGTCGGAAAATGTCAATCGCACAATTCGTAAAGTGCAACTTCACTTTCTTATCAACGCATTGAAAGTCTATGTAAAAAAGCTCCCCCCTCACGGCCGGTTGGTGTGGTTGACGGTTATTCCCCCCCCCCCTTTCCTTTTGAAAATTTGCTAAGCTTCCTGCAATAATCCCATCGAGTGTGAAAAAAAAGCTGTCAGCATGGAATGAGATAGAACCATTCATCATGTCTTCGAAAGGCACGTAAACAACTGTATTACCATTACTTATTATTTTGATGCGTCAGAGAAGGCCGTGAATAGCGGATAAAGCTGTTTTATTACGAGTCAAGTTTTGCCTGAAGTGAGGACTTCCGCATATGATGCAATATTCATGTGGTAACGAATAGAGCTTTTGCCTTTCTTGGACTGTGCGTTCAAATTCCATTCAGAATCGTAGTGGCTTGGTGAATGCGATGTGGCTTACACAGTGGCTTGTGTGAACCAGCCAATGTACAGGTCATGACTTTTTCACTCCAAACTAGTCTGGTACCAATTTGCAGTCATCTGAGAGAGCTAAAAGGGGATAGGATCTTTAAGGACTGAGCCTGATCGCTAGTATGTGACCCCTAGGAATGCTTTCATTGCCCAACGGCCGTCAGCTGCCAGCTACACCATATTGCTGCCTCTCCAGCCACTGCTACGTTCACTTGGAGTACACGGACACACGCTCCCAGGATATGGTGTGTGCCCTTGCACCCCACACAATGCTTTTTTCGCGGAATAGCATTTAAAGTCTAGTATTGAAAATCAGAACGGTTGTATTAACGGTTCCACCAAACAGGAGAAGCCCAGGGAAATTGTCCGAGGATGTTAGCTTTCGCCGCGTTTCAGAGGCAGGAAAAGCTGACTAGACGAGGAAGTCTGAGCTATTGCAGTGATTTTAAGGCAAGAAGAGCTGACGCCTCAGTTTACCTGGGACTCACATTTTCCAAGAGGTTAAGCATTATCCATGCATCAGCAGTGCTCCCTTGTCTATGTTGTCTTGTATGGATTTTAGGAGAAGATGTGTTTTGGAAAGGTGAATTACAGCTGAGACTTCATCCGTCATTCAGTCTCTTTCATATGTATTTAGCTGTAACAATGAGCACTTTCTCAGTGATATTCCGCGACTGCGGACCTTTACAGCCAGACTATAGCCAGGCCTGCAGTCGCATAGAGGATATTACTTCCATGACTAGAAAGTGGCGCCTGAAACGCGCGACTTACACCCATGCAAGCATTTTGTCTACATGACATCAACTAACACCATTATTTACAGGTTACCGTGTACACCAGTATTCGCGTAGTGCCTACAGCGTTGTGTGACGATTTCTGTGCCTGCCGCTAGTCTATTAGCGTATTTACTTGCACTGGCTGCGCTTTTTCATGAGTCCTTCCTGATTCCTTGCAATTTATTTCCTTTCTTTTCTTTCAGAGAGTCACTGGGCGACTACAGGCTCATAGGACACCGCCTGCCCCAATACCTCATCGCGAAACTTCTCTTTTCAGGAGAGCACAATAATGTAGATTGGGTGACAGATGCCATTTCAAGTTTTGTCTCCATAACATGCTTCTTGATGAAAGGGAAAATGGGAAATGGGAAATGGGAATGGATGAATAAGCGATGATGGACGGTATGAAATTACAAGGTTTCACATTTTCTGTGAAGTAACAGAGACCAATCGAGACAAGGACACCCCTTTTAGGGGTGAAAAGTTAAGAACTCACCTTGCTCTACAAATAAAATGATCTATCAGTGATTGATTCAGCAAGAAAACAAGCGCAGTTGAGAACAATCTAGGTGGATTCATTCCATGCCTCTTGGATCTATATGATCTCCGCTGAGATTTCCAATGTGCGACGTACCAAGGCCCAACTGGAAAGGATGTATGCACGTACAATCGTTTTCGCTGCAAACGCTGGAGCTCTTCAGGATGTCGGCTTTGACGCAGCGCCAGCCCATTTCCCTAAAAGCGGGCGGGCGACAATGACTGATGGAAAACGTGATGGCTCCACGTAAAATACGCCCCCTTACCTTCCGTCACGCCCCAACGTGTGCGGCGGATACTATTATAGATGCGGCCTCGCTATCGTAACTGAATACTGCATCCAAATGTCGAGGGTGTTCAAAAGGCGAAGGGTTTCATTGCTCTCCTCGTTAAAATTATGGCTGTATCACTTAAGATTTCAGATATGGATGTGTCATGGCCGTACGCTGTCTCTGCCATGGCTAGCATTATGACGTTGCCCTTATACGTTCTTATAGTGATCGCAGTAATAAGTCGCGAAAAATTGACACCATTTTATGCTTTGATGGCTTCACAGGCAGGGATATACGAATTTAGTATGACTCCAGACGAAATTCATCGGTGTTTCAGGGCCTTGCTGATATTTGGTCATTGGTAAATTATCTGCTCTTTACTTTTCTACGTGAATCCCAGCTATTCAATGTATTTTTTTGGGAAAATCGACACTTTATTGCCAAATACGAGCACACAAATATATGCTTCTCCACTTTTCTCAGATTTGTCGGTATCACTTTGATGTCACTGCAGAGATACATTGGCGTTTGCCAATCTGGAGGAAGAATTGAATGGGTATTTGTTCAGATACGATTTCGTTTGGTTTCTCTCGTATTTTCCAGCAACAACATATAGGACTGCTATGTTTTGAAAAACTCCCTAAGAACCGGAAATTCGCTCAGAGGCAGTGTCTCACTTAAGGGGAAAAACTGAATGGTCCCATTCTTATGCAATAAACTTTGAACAGTGGCCAACCATCCCCTGCGTATCATAGGACGGGATATGTAACAAATACGATAACGATCGCTTGTCTCCTGCACATACAGTACTGTCTCCAATTTTTGCAAAATCGATGGCTTGCAGGGGTTTCGTCGCAAATCGTCACCCTTCCATAATTTCCTGGGAAATGGATCTATGTGACCTAGAAAATAGGTGGCTAGTAAAAAAAATGCTTTGCTCATGGAGTGTGGCTATTAAAAAGATGCTCTGCTCATAGAGTGTATCATCAAAATCTACTTCTCACAGGGGCAAGTTACATGAGAGACATAAGGTGCAATGTTTCTAAGGTGTTGTTCATGGTATGAGCAAACAGTCTACCTCAGCCTTCGCGTTCACGACAAGGCGACAATCCGTCATCCCCAGCGGGCTCAGGACCTGCGTAATCGCGCCAGCAGCGGTTGATTTATAGTTTTGAGTTTTCTGGAAAATGTCGTTATATGGATGAAAGAGATCAATCGGCATGAGTTTCGCGTAACGCTGCTACTGTCCATGATTTATTAGGTTGTCCCAAAAGTTCGTGACATTTTCAAACTTCTTTTTCGAGTCAATTTGTTCCAGTGAGAGGCAATTTTGATCAATACATACAGGGGGCCAAGAAAAAGTCACTTTTTTATTGACTTTCGAGGCGCTATAAGTTACACTTTATTAAATTCTGATCGGACATTTTACCACCATATTAAAGAGCATATCAAATACTATCATGACACTCCGCCACAGCCTTCTGGACGAGCGCCATCGAGAGATTCTGGCACGCGACCGCGATGTGGTGCCTGAGATCAGCGAGATAGTCGATTTCTCCGCCACCGTAGTAATACCACCCTATTGAACAACCGGGTAATTGAGGGATTCAGGTCAGGTGACCTACTTGGATATTCCATCTTCTTTAGGTACTCAGCCCCTTCCATTCCAAGTAGGCGAGTGTTTCTCCAACGCCCTTCGATTTCATGTGGTGGCACTCAATGCTGTAGCAGTACAAAGTTTCCAAGAAGGTACGGGCCACATGTGAGGAGGATATTCTTCACGAGTTGCCCAATGTAACCGCCAGCGCTCACCTTCAGTCCGGGGTCCACGAAGAAAATATTGGTCTTTCCATTCCAGGTACGTCCGGTCCATACCATCAACCCGCGCCTTGGCGACTGCGGTGAAGATGATGTCCTAGACCGTGGCGACGTTGTCGGAGCTGCTCGATGTTGGAGGTCATCCAGATCGAGAGTACTGGTCTCCAGGTAGCTATCCATGGGTGACTCCATACTAGAAGTTTCGCAGCTGTTTGGAGGTGACATGAATTCCAAAGGTCTTCTCCAGTCAGGCTGCGACTGGAGATGACTTCATATTTTGGTGTACTGGGCGAGAGCCAGCTCCTGCTTATAAAGGGCCAACCATCAAGCAAAGAAATGCTGCCTTACTTCTAGAAACTTTTTAGTTCCGGGTCGGCTAAGGCACCCGGTCATTTTTGAGATGCTTTTGAAAACCGTAGTTTTGACCCGGAAGGTGGCCGTTAGTTCAGATGGCAGTCAGAAAGAGCCAAACCAGGGCTATACGAAGACTGCGGTGAAATTCCTCAGCTAAGCTTCAAGATCTCGAGCAGTGTCATTTTCCAAATCCTGAGTTGTGGTGAAGTAGGCACACATTGCTGGGTTGTGGGACCAGATATGATAAATAATATGGAGATTTTCATTCTCGTCTCTGCAGTTAATTACAGGAGGACTGGCTGGTTACCATAGCGTTGAGAGGAAGAAACTCCATACTGTAAACCCCGTGAATGGTTCACCACAAGCACAGTACCACCTTTCTAGGGTATTGATGAGATTCCGATTCTGCCCTTTCAGGAAGATCTAGCTACTGACACTTCCGGGATTGGTTCACCCAGAAACACCTGCTCCTATCCAGTCACAGTCGTTGTTCAACCATTCTGTATGGCGCGAGCGGGAGAGAAGTTCAAGACAGTACCCACATGCCCTTCCCCTTGAGTATCGGTCAACCGATGAGAAAACTTTCAACCGGACCTCAATACTTCTTGAAAGACGGACGACTGTCATTTGGGCTTTTGGAACAGCCAAATGGAAGTTTCAGGTAGCGAGCTGATTCGTACTAAATGGTTCCAATCAAGGGCGCAGTGGATCCAAATCCAATGCAGATGGCCTCTCTGGACCAGGTTTGTCTCCCAAGTAGAAGTCACTTAAGCGAAAGCGATCGGGCCATTCCAACGCCGTACTATGGAAGGTAGTATCAGGACCTCACTCTGAGCAAATGCCGCGCGTGGCTCCAACTAGGTTGCGACTTGATGGAAATTCATATAGCGAATGTGACAAAAATTATGAATTTCATCTACCGTTTTGGATATGACAACAGCGACTGTGAGGGATGAGGGACGGTGAAGCAACTGTGGTACATTCACCTAACACATTTTTCATAGACCGCATAAATGGATCTCGAAATAGCCGCGAAAAGATTTGATACGAGATTTTAGAGAATGTCACGGATTTCTGAGACAACCTAAAATTTTTTATGACTCAGCCTTAACAGTCAATTTGTCGTCGAGCAGAGTAAGATCCCAGCGATCCGTTTTGCGGATTTCAGGAGCACAGAGCTGATAACAGTGCCTGCAGAAATTGTTCTGTTTTGTTATCCATTGACCCCGTCGTTCCCTATAGAGAGAGGTTGAATTACCGTCTGAACCAAGTGTCTTTTCTGGCTCCTCTGTGGATTATCGGGTAGCCATGACTGTGCCGATCACAGAGTAGCTTTAGGTTGTCTTCAATATTCCGGTCTCATTTTCAAGATTCTGAGATTGGGCCTGCGGCTCCATAAGAGAGGTACCTAGGACACGACTGCGTCGACAACCCTGCAGTCCAGTTAGAAGTATTAATCTGAGTGCTAAACGAAATATGTTCAACAAGGGCACAATCCCGTACAATCATAACATTGGTGTTTTTTGTGTTTTGTTGCGTTGACAAATGCAAACTTTTTGAAGGCAAAATTTGCATTTGGCTCCTTTTCCAGGCTCTTTCGCGGATGCCAGTCGCCCTCGTTCCTATTCTTCACTGGAGTATTGGACTTTTAATGACGTCACCGTTATGCCAACCGTCCTTCAGCGTGACTTATCAGATAAAGGGAAGAGTGGATGTTTCAGTATCTCCAGCGTTATTGACGGTTAGTCAGTTGCCAGTATTTAACAAAGGCACTCTACTTGAAGATCCGCTTCTTTGATTCGGGGAAAACATACTGTGTCGCGGACCATGGCCCCCTACTGACGCGCACGCGTAACCGCGGCTCCCGCCATTCCATCGTTCTGCCACACCTCTTCTACGCACCTGCACAGGAAGGGTGCACCTAGTCCCCGGAGAACCATAGAGTTCCTGCGGCGATCTTTTTGCACGACCATCCGCCCCACCTTCCACCGTACCGTGAGGCAGTGTTCCTGCCACTCATACTTACCGCCACGGTACCATCATGGTTAACAACAAATAGAAGTCCACGGTAGTCATCCGTGGTGCAAACCATTACAATAACAAAGAGAATATAATCCACATCATTTATCATCCGAACCACTCACCGCACTACAATAATTGCTCTCTCCGCGTCCGCCGCTCTCCACCGTCTTTCTTCCGGAGCTCACTATGGAGTCTGCCCCCTGCCCTTCGCCCCTCTCTGTACGAAAATGGTCTGCTCGGCTTCATCCCATTTTTACGTATTATGCCCCCATCCTGCTGGCGATATTCTTAACTGCTTCATGCGGTCGTCGATGTCGTGATTGGGGCTGATCTAGAGGCTCCCATTCGCGGAGCACGGATGGGCTTCACCGCTCCTCCTTCGACGATGCCATCGCTTTGCCCGGTGAAAACCGACGGGCCGTCGGCTGCCAGCCGTTCAACTTACTATAATGACCACAACCGCCGGGGACGGCACCGGCGCATGCGATGTGCTGGCCGTGGGAACCGAGCGCGAAAGGGCCGGGGCGCGAGGTGTGCCCAACCGCGACCGTCGCATCTGCGACATACTGTACAGCCACCTCCGTGGATCCCGGTCTTAACATGTGCGAGGCGACTTGTCCACAACTGGAAGTAGCATCTCTCAGCTTAAATGGCATGGGAACGGGCTAGCGGGTACTGGTAGCCTGATCCGTGCTCTTCGTAATCTACCCTCACCATCCTCAATGTGCAGCACTTGCATGGACACCATGATCGCGTGACACGCACTCAGTGGTAGAGGACAAGCCTTAATGGAGGATGCCGACGAGTAGCGCGCGTCCCTACCTCCATCCAAGTTTCCGTGTATTTTTAGCCGGAGAAAGTGGCTCGGTACTGCAGCTCTGGACTCATAACTTTGCTCCTCCGCCCGGAGTTTTAGCGAAATTCTTAGCATTTTTACTACTAGCGACCTATCGCCTCTTCCACACCTTCTTCACCAGAAAGATGAGCGGCCGCTCTTGGGGGTCCCTCGCTAAGGGGAGTCACGAAGAAACAGCAAAGAGGAGGCACCACAGGGACCAAAAATCCATTCCGATGAGTCTTCCTCTCCGTTGGGTGGATTCGTGAATGCTCTAGGACTTATGGTCATCTTTGATAATCCACGGCTGATATTCACAAAAGACATCTTGCGACATGCGGTGACTTCGTACAAAACAGACGAAAGAGGATGAAGATTGCCCTCATTAATGACAATGTCCCGTTCATGTTACTTGCTCAACTCGCTATATGAACAGGTTACCATGATAAGTGAACACAACGGTATCACTACGCTCCCCCCTGAATTTCCTCATCTAGTGCGACACCCATCCTATTCTCAGGTTTTTCTGCTACCCTTCCACTTTTCCCGATTTCCAGAGAATTTCACGATTTTTTTTGCTTCAAAAT